CGTCGGCTTCGATCGACGGGTCGAAAGAGTGCTGCAGTCGTGTTGAAAAAATGTCGACCAGACACGAGAGAAGGCCCCTGAGTGTCCCATTTAAGGCCGCTTCGTTAACCCGATTTAAACCGCGGGACCTAATGACTCTGGTGATATGCTTATTAGTAGCAAAGCGATAGGTGAGCGAGATGAAATCATGACCAGCAATAAAAGGAGTATCAGACTTTCCAAATGTCTGGATAGCATTTAGGTCTTTCACTATGAAGAGGTCAAGAGTAGTATGGGAAGGGGGATTTGTATCAAGACAGTAATGAGTGGGAGCAGTGGATACGAAGTGGAGGTTGTGCAGGTCAACGAGAGATCTCAAAGCTCGAGCATCCGGCAGAGAGCTGGAACCTAGGTCTGCGTTAAAATCACCGGTAATGATGACATTTCCGTACAGAGGGAGGTAAGTGGCCAAGCAGTTGAAAAAGTGTATGGGAGAGCAAGCAGAGAGACGTCTGTATACCACCGCCATCAAAAGCTTGGTGTTGTCGGACTTTATTTCACCTAGGATAAATTCAGGTGTGTTATCGAAAACTGGATCTGAAGTAGCTAGGAAACTGAATTTAAGGTGAGATCTGACGTACAGGCCAACACCGCCACCCTGCTTTCCAATTCGGTCAAGCCTGAAAAAATTGAAGTCGGGGAGAGAGAGGTGTGAGTCAGAGATATCAGGTGAGAGGAAAGTTTCAGTAATGGCTATGACATCAAAATGTGTAGAAATGGCTTGTGCTTCGAGAAGAGCAAAGTGACAGGGGGAATTTAGTCTGTTTATATTGATGTGGCCGACAACGAAGGAAGCAGAGGGCGGGGTATGGCCCCGGGTTAGTTGTTATCATGGACCAGAAACCGGAGGAGATGAAAATGGGATGGCTTGAGATAGCTGGGTCGGAAAGACAGACACTGTCGGGCTAAAACAAGCGTCCGTTTTGCTAAATTGCGGAGCCGGGTTTTTTAGGATAGAGGCAGTAGGTCGCGATTTGACCACCTGGGGCGCGAAGTTAAGGTTGAGTGGAGCATGTCTGCGAGTGCCGATCGGAGTGGCAGCCACTGCCATAGCACTAGAGCGCAGAGCGGCCTGGGCAGGAGGCTGACTGAGAGGCAAAGGCGTGCAGGTGTCAAGGTCACTCTCCGATGTGATTGGGATCGGGGTGGAACGTGCATTCTCCCGCATATGGACGACCATACCCGAGACGAAAGGGAGCGCGAAACCCAACTCACGACTGCGCGCAAGCGCCTTTACAAAGAGATTGTGGATCGGCTGCGGTAATAGCTGGCGGATGAAGATGGGGTTTCCGTGACCGCACTTGAAAATGTCCCTCGCCGTCTTCCCAGCGAGCCTGCCCGAGCGCTCCAGTATGACATCACGCACCACCGTTGAGTCGATACGCACGACGAAAGTGGACGTAGTATCGGTCGGATTTGGGCGAGAACTAGTGGCAGTCCATCTTCTGGTGGCCACTATGTGACCACCAGCGTTTGGGCAGCCAATCGCCTCAAAAAGCATCCCGGCGGCATCCTCCAGTGAACCCTAGAACCCCTGCGGTAGGCCTAGAATAAAGAGCTCGGAACGATCCTTGAGACCCACCACGGACTTGAGGCTCTTCACCTCGTCGGCAACACGATTGACTTTGGTTAGAATGGAAGTCTGGGTGGCTCTGATCTCGTTCCGAAATTCAGTGAATTCATTATTCACGAAGCCAGAAAACCATGCTGGTGGTTTGTCGCCCGTGGTAGATGCCATGCTATCCAGCAAGTGGGTTTGGTCCGTGCTGGAGGAAGAAACAGTGGGAAGGGCCGGCGATTGGTCAGCACCACAGAAGTCGCTCCGGGATTCCACTCTCGACGTCTTCGATGGGAAAAGCTCGTAAGGTGATGCCTGTCTCTTACGGCCTGAGATTTCGATAAAAGGCAAAGTACCAGCAGAAGCAGAGTCAATTTGAGTGGAAGGAGGGGATTCCCAAAAAACGCCACCGGACTGATGAGAGTTGACCAAAACCGAAGACTGAAAAGAGCAGGTACGACAGGTAAAGGTCGCAAGGTCAGGGTTTGAGGTTATATGGAAACAGTGTCGATGGAAAGATCTATCACAGGACTCGCACTGCAGGATATTAGCATCCAGATAACTCAGCGCTTCACCACACTCGGCGCATGAAGACAAGACCATTTGATAAAAATGAAAGGTTTGAAAATTTAAAAACTAGTTAAGACAAAAAATAAAAATTCATAAAATGTGTCAAAAAGTTTCCCATATCTCCTTCCCGGATCTCAAAACTTCACAAGAAACTGTAACAAGTGAGATAATTTAAAGGACCGATTGGCACGACTAATTGAACATAGTTTGAATTTCGCGCGAAAATTTGAGTCACTGACCAGTCATAAACGGTAGTTGTGAAAAGTCTGGATTTAAGAGATTTGAAAATTGGCGCCTCAGTGGCACCAACTCAGTTAAGGATCAAAAATTGGCGGAAGATACAGGAGTAATATGATGCCATTTACAAGAGACGGTAAGAGAATTCGCAAATTAACCTAGAGATGATTGAAACGCAAAAATAAATAAGTAACTTATCCGCAAAAATGAAATGAGAAAAAATGATTGGTGAAGCGAACGCAGAAAAATTACATTGCAAAATTCATGAAAAAGTAAGAAAGTAAACGCGATTTGACACAGTCGATAGAATAAAATTAAAATTAAGATTAAAAATAAAATTGTCTAGCGTGTAGATAGCGCTGGATGAAAATACAACAGTATAAACTAAGTAAAACAAAACAAGATAAAGTAAAATAAATATAAATTAAAATAAGCTTAAAATTAAAATAGCCATCGCGATGACTAAGGGCAAGAACAAATTAAGTTAAAAGTAGTGATGCGGCGAAGAAATAGCATCGGCTATGAGGAGTCTCTCCGAGAAGATTCAAATATGTGGATAACGGTAAAAATAGTTGACACTGGTACTTAGCAGCAAAAGTGTTGGAAATGTTGCATTCGGTGAGATGTGTGATGTGTAGTGTGTAGAGTGTAGCGGTCTTGGTGTGGAGGCTGTGTTGTTGTTTGTGTTGTTTATGTGCGTGATATGAAGTGTATAGATCAAAACTCGTTAAAATTGGAGATTTGATGAAGGTTATGTTGTAAACAGGCAGGCGATTTATTCATCCACTGGCCAAAAAATTGACTAAAAGCCAAGAATTTTTAGCAGGAAGCGCAGTGGCCAGCTGGACGAACTCGCCTGCAAAAAAATGCCGCTCGAGGAAGTGGCAAAATTGAGAAAATGTATATTAAGGAAGAGAGCCTCAAAGACCAGTGTGTCGTTACTCACCGAGAGAGAGAGAGAGAGAGAGAGAGAGAGAGAGAGAGAGAGAGAGAGAGAGAGAGATATCTGAGTACTTCATCTTTATATTGGTTTATTCATTTTTTACTGACAAATAAGTGCATGAAACAAGAGTCTATATAAATACACTACATTTCATAAAAAATAGCATCATTTATACAAAAGAAGTAAGTTTTTGTTTGCTTTTTTAATATAAAAAATTTTACGATTTACATGACGTCTTGAAAGACGAAATTATTATATATATAGTGAATGTCTACAAATCTTAAAAATATTCAGTGCTGTTATGTTCATTTTGAATGTAAATATTTCATTTCAAAAACAGTGCCAGGATAATAATTTTGATGAAAATAGATTTTTTGAATAAAAAAGTTTCGTCGGTCTAAAGTATTTACATTATAACGAGTTGGATGTCAACTCGTTATGTCCTTTTTTCTCTCTCTCTACGGCGATAATATTAAGAATACTATACATTTATAATGTCATATCTTTTGAATTATGTTTCCCCTTAGCAGCAGACAGACGACTGCGGAGAACAAGGTAAGAGAGAGTGCCGGCAGAGAGAGAACGCGTGCGCGTGTAGGCATAACTATATATATGACGTGCCGCGCGTCGCGTGCCGTGTGACGAAGGGCCGGCAATTAGCCGATAGCTCGCGAGCCGTGCAGAGGCGTTCGGTCGTGCCTATACTTTGTCAGTTTTTCTTTTGTGAATCGCCTCGTAGCAAGATAGTGACCTTTGACTGTGAGTGGTTTGTGAGGTGCAATTGTTCGTGCGGCACCTTCTCTCTTTCGTGACAAGCGACTATTCAAATAGGCGAATTCAGCAATCTTCCCGAATTATAATCGAGAGGCATCGACTAATGTAAGTACCGACCATTCCTTGAATATCTCTCTCGCTTTGCCTATCTCGCCGCTCTCTCTGAATCGTCCTGTACACTGACACGCACATAAACTATATATATTTATATACTATTACAACTGCATGACTTTTCTTTCGGACTACCTTTCCTTCCTATGGCTTCCCTCAACTTTTACGATTTAAGCTGCGTGATCCACGACGCTCTCCGCGAGCCTGTTAGCGACTTGACCTTCCGGGCCGGTCTTACGTAGCAGAACCTACTTCCGCAAAGGGCTGCAATTGTGCCAGCTATTACTTGATTAATTAATATATGGTATAACTCGTTTTAATTAATATATTGTAGCGGTCTGAATCCCCGTTACAACATTAAGTGGTGAAAGAAAAGAGAAAGTTATTAGAGTAAGTATTTATCCATTATAGGTTTGATTTGATTGTAAAATTAAGTATTTTTAAATTTTCTATAACATGGTCCTGTTGAACGAAAACTGATAAGATATATTTAGTTAATTTTCGCGATTTTTGGTCCCACCAAGTATTGAGATTTTCCTTTTTCACTTGTTTTACGTTGTGTCATGCATACCTGAAAGAAATATTAAACTTACTAGTCTATGTATCTCTCATGGACGTGTAGCTAAAACTATTTCATTCGTTCATAACTTATTAATTATTATTAGCTAATTTTTCCGGAATGTCAGACTATATTTTCCTATAAATAATTATATTATATACAATTTAAATGAATTATAGCGAAGTTCACATTTCCTTAACGACAAATAGATATCTTACGCCAGAGAACAAAAAATATTGAGGTTAAGAGATACTGCGTAAATTTGCTTGACAAGTTTGGTTCATTCAAATACACCAGAGAAGTATTATCGGATCTTGATAGACAGGCAAGAAGCGAAATTTCCAGACTAGGAGGTAATCCTTTTTTGATATCGGTACTTGATGAATTGCTAACCTGGAGAAATAATGATTGATATCAAGGTACACAAAGTTCTTTGAAAAAAAATCATGGATTTTTTTTTATGTAATTTGAGTGTCGTTATTGTATGAATTATAATTCGATTATTTCATTCACATCTCGTTTCAATTATTGAGACTTCCTTATCCTGAAATATCTGTAATATTATACAACATACTTAGAAGCATGAAATTTTGATTAATGTGATGAACTAAATATATAAGATTTTATTTAATGTGGTAAGTTAAATTAGAACTATTATTTTGTAACGGAAACAATTTTTTAATTAAATCGCTACTATCAACTCAATTTGGCTAGTAGTTAATGCAGTACTCAAAAAGACTAGTTGATAGATGAATTCCTTGGTTCTAGACCCCAAAAATCATCTGCGAGCACGAACGTTTATGATCGGAGGCAGTAATTTGACCAGAGTTATGGTAGTCATAGTCACTGGAATCGCACTGTAACTTTACAAAATATCCTAAAATCGAGAGGTTTCTTTTTTCATTTTTATCTCATTTTGTTTAACGGTTGAGTAGGGATCAAAATGAGCTTTGAGGTTTTGCGCCAGGATGCAAGATTTTTGTGAGTTTGTATATATATATAGTTTGTATATATAATACATATAATATATAGATAACTATTTATCATTTTCAAAAATATTTTTATACAATAATTGACTTATTGAAATAGCTGTGATAGTGACGTATATGCAAACTATTTTGTTTGCATATTGAAAAATGATGTGTCGGATGATCATTTTTCAATCTATCAAACGGAATTATGGCATCATCGGCCATAACAATATACAATTCACAGTTTGGAATCAATTATAAAATTATATAAAAATATTCATTAGTTCGTATCATAGTATTAATGGTCAATTCACTTATACATAATTTTGACATGTCAGTTTCACTGTTTCTAATTGAGTATTCACTTATTGTTAGACCAAAACAAACCTTATGTAATACTAAAAAATTATTAAATGTCATAAAGAAAGCATAAAAAGGTTTACTTTTTATGCTTTCTGCATCAACCGTAAAAAGGTTTACTTTGACGTTATTTCTTTGTTTACAAATATAATTGTTGAATCAGTTTGTAAAGATGTTAAATAAAAATGGAGATATTTTAAATAGCAGATTTAATTTGCATTTACAAGAATTTCTTGTTCCGGTCATATTTTACACTTCTTACTTCAAATTCAGTAATAAATTTTACACCAAAAACATGATGCAGCAATGAGATGTTGTTCGAGTCAAATTTTCGTGAAATTAGTGCTTAACGTAATTTATGTACTTTGAGCAAAAAGATATTACCAAAAATATATCAGAATGATGATAATAAGGAAAAGATGACTGAAGCTACCGAACGGAGCATCACTGGTCGTATTTGTTGGAGACCTTGTGCTAATAGTAGTAGTTGAAATAATAAGGCTAACGGAAATAATTCCCAATGAACCAATGAAGCTCTAGAATTAATTTTTGAATGGTTATACGAGGTCTGTCCGGAAAGTATAGGGCCTACGTTTATATCTTCGCGCCATAGTGTTCGAGCGAGCTCTACCGCATAGAAACGTCAACAGTAAAGCCTCACGAATCTATTGGTTACTTACTGACACCTGCCGGACGTATAGTTCATGCGCAGCGTGTCTTTGTTTACAGTGCCTTTTTCGCGTTCGTCGGATTTTGATATTGTCAAAAATGACTGAAAAGCAAGATCAACGAATTTGCATCAAATTTTGCTTTCAACTCGGAAAAACGAGTTCGGAAACTATTAAAATGATGCAAAAGGCCTTCGGAAGCGAGTGTATGAGCAACCCACGAATAAAAGAGTGGTATAAACGGTTCAAGGATGGTCGCACTTCTGTCGATAGTGATTCTCGTTCCAGCCGACCTTCGACGACAAAAACCGCAGATAATATTGAGCGAGTGCGACTTGCAATCGAACAAGATCGTCGTATGACTGTGCGAGAACTAGAAAAAGACCTTGGGATATCAAAAACTATCATTTCAGAAATTTTAACCGAAAATTTAGGAATGAAACGCGTGTGTGCGAAATTCATCTCAAAATTGCTCACAGCAGAGCAGAAGAACATTCGCTTAGAAATCGCTCTGGACAATCTGTAAATGGTCAATAATGATGATAATGTGCTCAGAAAAGTTATTACAGGTGATGAATCGTAGGTTTATGGTTATGATCCTGAAACAAAACAACAATCTTCACAGTGGAAGCATTCTGAATCGCCAAGACCAAAAAAAGTACGTCCAAGTTGGAGCAATGTTAAGTCAATGTTGATTGTTTTTTTCGATTGTGAAGATGTTGTACATCACGAATATGCACCAACAGGTCAGACAATCAATAAAGAAAACTACGTTCAAATTTTAAAACGTTTGCGTGATGCAGTAAGAAGAAAACGGCCGCAATTTTGGGAAAGTGGTGACTGGCTTCTCCATCACCATAATGCGCCAGCGCATTTATCCAATCTTGAGTAGCAGTTTTTGAGCAAACACAATATCGCATTGCTTCGACAACCTCCATACAGTCCCGACATAGCCCCTTGTGACTTTTGGCTGTTTCCAAAACTAAAAAAACCACTCAAAGGACACCGATTCGATGACAAAACAACGGTTGAAAACAATGTGACGAGTGTACTTAAGGCTATCCCTAAAAGTGAGTTCCAGGACTGTTTTGAAAAGTGAAAACATCGATGGAACCGTGTTATTCAATCAAGTGGGGATTACTTTGAAGGATGCCACCCACCAGATGATAAAGAATAGCGTTGGAACGAAAATATAAAGGTAGGCCCAATACTTTCCGGATAGACCTCGTATTTTCCTTTTTTTTATTTTATTGTAAATGGGCCAGCAATAAACGTTATTTTATGAATTAAATTTCTAGCCTGATATTTGTATTGCGTCCTCACCTTTTCATCCTAAACTCTTTCACGTGCGAACGTTGCAATCTGCATATCTAGCAGGTTGTTTAGTAGTTGGAATATTCGTGCCTCCTTTTCCCCGTGCAAATAAATTTAGTAAAGAGAGTCACGGACCAAATAAAATTGTTTAAACGACTTTTCCTTTACAAGATAGTGTGTATAATGAACTTCTTCTAGGTGTAAGTATACGTAACCTTTGCTGTTTAAATTTTTTATATGACAATATTTGGTTTGTTCTTTTGTATGATGATTTATACAAGCATTAGTGTTGTATTTCCTGGTAAATGTAAATAGACATTCATTGTCCCCATATTAGTTTGCAGAGAAAAGTATAATAAATGTTAATTTTGAGTAATTTATGCATTAGTTTATAGCTAGATGTTCTAATAATACTTGTTACAGTGCTATGAGATCGGGTCTCAGATCAAATGACTTTATTAGGAATCAGAAAAATCATTTTCGCTTCAAATATTGAATATATTAGTTTCGGGTCGTAACTTATCGTTAGATTCCACGCATTAAAGGTATTGCATATATGTTCCAAATTGAGTTGTCAGTGGATATCGAACGCTGCGTCTCTTTTTCTTTCCTGGAGTATTACACCTCTCTTTATTTTTTAGTTAATCATGTTCATCAAGTTGTTCACTTGCATTTGTTACTAGAGCTGATCTTTCATGGATATATTGTTGAATATATTGTGTATTTTTAGATTTGTATTTGAGTAAGGGGATATTTTATGGAGTACTTTCAGGAGAAAAACCATAATTATCGTTTATAGATGGTATATCAATGTTAGGATTTTCCCAATTTTTCGTAAACTGATAATAGTTTCTATTAATTTGGTAAAGAGAGCTTACGTCGTCTTGGTAATGTTACGTTTTATGTTATTACGTGAGTCGGTAGGTTCCACTACTGTGGACGGTAATTTTTGTGACGATATTTTGTGGTGACGTGTGTTCGCTTGAGGATGGCAGGCGCGTGTCCTGAGAGGAAACACGTTTCACTTTTTCTTATTATCTATATGCTTATTATCCTCTGCCTTTGATTAATGAGTAATTTTGTCTTCAGGTTACCAAATGATAATCGGTAAGCCCTTGAAAGCTCTTTTATTCTATTCTTCTAGATCTGCAATGTAGCGAGCTTTCTCACTCTTATCTAATGAATGTAGTATCCGTTGAAGTATTGACAAACGGGGATTTTGTGATGTCGGCAGTCTTCTATCAGTTTGTTGCATGTTTTGATTTTGAAGTGTATTATATGCGCTAGAGGTCAACGTCAGTATATAGTTATGCTTTTTGTTATTGTATATGTTCATATTATTATTTCCTAATGGTGTTTATGTACAGTTTCGGGAAGATGTACTTGTATCTCTGTTAACTTATGGTAACAACTTCTGTATATGGTACAAATCGGTAACTATGTTGCTTATTAATTGTTGATCTTAAAGAGAGTATTGAGTTTGATTTATATCTACCTCCATGTTATTGTTTATTTATGATTCTCGATAATTCTTGAATAATTTTCTGAAATTGTTATGGTCGCACACTAGGCTACCAAAGTCGAACCTTTAGGAGACTTCTTTCGGCAACGCCTTGTCTAACGCGTGAAGTAGACGGTCTATTAAGAAATACTCCCTTTTAGCGAATTTTCGAGTTCTTTTCTGTATGCGTGTTTCTTGGCAATTGTCTAACTCTACTGTTCTACTAATATTTTGCTGACTTACAAGTAATATTCAGTTCCTGGCTCACAAGCTTCGCATCTAAAACTACGATTTTTGCGTAATCTTCGACAAATCGAATATATTATATTTTTATAATAGTTTGCTAATTCCAAAAATTTTTTGATTTTAATTAGATTCATTGGTACTGGATAGTCGCGAAGTACTTTGAGTTTCTTAGGATTCGAGCGAATGGTCTTATTTCCTACGATCTTAGTTATGAAATAAGATGGCTTGTTAAGTGAAGCCAGTTTATTCGTGATTTGATTGGCTGAGAGAAGGATGTGTGTGTGATTTCATTGTGTGACCGTGTTAATTAGGTATAGTTTTGATTGATAGTTGTCTCTGATGTGATCAAAATGTAGTCAAAGTCAAAAGGACCTTATAGAAATCTATCTGACCGACATAAATTATAACTAG